CCCTGAGCGAAACACACAACCAAAACGTCGTCAACTGTCGTCTGATCAGCCGACAGAATCTGCAATCAAATGATTCCAAGTGAGTACTATTTTTTTTCCTTTCTAACATACAAATTCAGAATCCTTCTGTCTATGCTAATAATCAATTAATCATTTTTATCCTTTAAATTAATTACTTTGGAGTTGGGAACGGTATATCTTGTCACCAGCATTGCAGTCTGTCTTTTTCACAATAAACTCTAATATTTTAATCATATTTTTAATGACTTGAAAGAGCCATTAACAAAATCTATATCTATAATTCTCAAAATGTGTGTGTGTGTGTGTGTGTGTGTGTGTGTGTGTGTGTGTGTGTGTGTGTGTGTGTGTGTGTGTGTGTGTGATCGGATGTTGTTTATGCGTTTTCAGTTTTCATCCGATTTCGTTGATTTTTTTATTGTTTATTAGATAATTCTTTAGTAGCGGTTTTGAGTTTAAATTCGCTGGAAAAACTTACAACCTTGAAGGTGAAAAATCGAAAAAAGTCATTTTTTATACTTTGCACAAAAATCAAAGACAAAATTTAATGTCTGTAAAAACAGCGTACAATCAATTTAGAGAGTTGAAATTTATCGCAAAAGATGCGCAATGGCGAGACGGTTATGTAGCATTTGCAGGGCTGTTCAATGCGCGGCTGTACGAGGTAACAGGCATGCAAAATAACATTTTTTGGAGTGGGCGGTGCGGGTGGTCTTGATGATGCCTCAAGATAACTTTTGCCAGGGATATCCTATTTCTGTAAATTTTCTGTGAAACAACAGCTCAATTGTAGCGAACGCAAAATAAGTTTTGCATGTGCAAGTCATCAGTGATGTGTCCGTTACCTCAACATTTAGGCACCATTCTGCCTGCATACAAGTAAACCCACTCATTCTGTGACTCTATGTGTCTATTTACCATGTTTTGTTTGTTCATGTTCTCTCAGTTTCATTTACTTTTTCCACATAACTTTCCGATCCTAGCTCATGCTGTATGGACGTAATTCATATTTCCACACGTTGCACATCGGTTGATTGATAATTATCGCGTGCAGCAACGCGTGTACGTGTGGCCCTGCAGCACGCGCTGTGTCACGCGCTGACACACGCGCTGATGCACGTGCATGCGCATGACCTATTCGAGTTGCCCATTGGCTGCACGAAACCCTTTACACTTCCAGTCAAATGTCGCTGTGTCATACTGATTGTCTACGCAGTCCTAAGCTCATTGCTACGGCTCAATCCCGCAATTCCGCTTCTATTTCTGTACATCCAGCTGTGCTTACATATTCCTCTTCTCTTGTCCAAACGTTCTATCTCTCTGAAGTGAGGTTTCCATTTCCGTTGCATAAAGCCTACAACTACAGTTTTAAGGCATTGCTTTCATTGTCGTTTCATTCCCAAATTATTTTTTGTTTGTTGTCCTGCCAGTTTTTGCTTTGTAATCACTGTAGTAATCAGTAAGCTTGCTTTTTTTATTACTCAACATTTGTTTTTCCAACCTTTCCTAAAGTTATTCGAGCTTAGAGATCCCCGTAGCTTTACAGCATTCTCTTTTGGTATTTGCCTACGCATTCCATTTGACAATTCATACTTGCCTAAGTAATGTTACCAAAGAAAAGAACTTGCCTAGGTCGCAAAACCGCTCCCGCCAGGTCCACCATGCGAATAAGAGATAACGAATCGCCTTTAGAACGTTCTGTTTGCCTGTCTCAAAATGCCTCTCGGAATGCTTCAATCAGAGCCACTGAGTCCGAAGATCAACGTAGATGTCGGCTTTCTAGAAGAGCATATCTGAATGCTTCTACGCGCGAGGCTGAAAATGATGATCAAATGACAACAGCTAAGGTGAAACGCCTCTTCAATTGCTGCTGCGCGTGAGGCTGAACGTGCTGATCAAAGGACTCAACGGCTGAGGAGAAACGCTGCTGCTCGTGAGGCTGAAACTGCTGATCGAAGGACTCAACGGCTTATGAAAAACGCCTCTTCAACTGCTGCTGCCGATCAAAGGACTCAACCCGCTGAGGAGAATGACCTCCTCAAATGCTGCTATGCCTGATGTTGAGAATTCTAATCATAGAACTGAGGAAAATCGCCTCTTCAACTGCTGCTGCACGTGCTACTGAAACCGAGGAGCAGCGCGAAAATTATTTACAATCGAATACTACTTCTACTGCTGCCGCGTGGCCAGCGAAATCGTCTGCTACCCGTCAAAATAAACTGAACGCCATTAGCACACGGAGGGATGCTCAGCGTGACATACCAACGATCAGTAGTGGCCGTTGGTTAAACTAGACCTTCCATTACAACCCCGACATTCTTTGAACTAATCAATGGCTCTGTCTCTCTTTCCACAGACCACCTTCAACCGCATCGCCTCCCCCTTGAATTGGCATCATTTCCAGCACATTGAATAACAATAGAAAATGCATCTACATCCTGAAGAAACATCCCCACCCCCAATTCTCTCCTTCCGTTGTAACGGTCCATGGAAGAGGTTCCTTCCTCGCAAGATTGAGAACGCAAAAACTATTACACTCCAAATTCTTTAAATCGATATTTACCAAGCTTATCTGTAGCATAATGCAATGAATGATGAGGTCAATCCTCATGGAGATCATCTGTTGTAGACCTGTCCTAAACTAAACAAAGATTAATAAGTATCTAAGTGCATCCGAATTGGTAGTTAGCTAGTCTCGCTCAAGTCAAGAGTTCGATCCCCACTGGGGATTACACTGTTGTGATCTTATGTCAAACGAAGTTGAATTTAGTAAATATGACCCAGAATAGTGTCTCTGCCCTTTCTTCATTTCACTTAAATACTTCTAATAATAATTATAATAATAATAACCGTATTAGAAAGCAGTTCTAACGCCATCAGCGTTAATTCTTAAGTAAAGTTCATTTTTTCTTCACCTGAATAATAATAATAATAATAATAAGTTGTGAGTGACCCCTTAGGGCTTCTACACCGTTTATCTCTGTTCATGAGTGGAAGTTCTTGGGCCGAATCATAGCCAGGTGTCGAGAAAGTTATGTGTGTGTGCAGTTTACAGTTATGGTCATCGTCATAAATCCACCAGAGAAAAGTTAACCGCCTGATGGGAATTCACCGCGAGGAAAGTTCATTGCATAAATTCATTAGATATCTTAATTAATAATTTTATAATTTATATATATATATATATATATATATATATATAGAGAGAGAGAGAGAGAGAGAGAAAGAAAGAGAGAGAGTTTGAATTTATGCTATGGATTAAAGTGCTCAATATCAGGTATAGAGCGTATTTAAATATAAAAGTGTACATTGAGGTCAACACCCAGTGGCGACAATCTGTTTCATGCTTAAACGCAATCGTCAGGTCATGGATAATTCCTATCTCCATGACTTGACGATTGCGTATATATATATATATATATATATATATATATATATATATATATATATATATATATATGAACCTAGAAATTTCCATACTAGATAATTGAAATAACGGTAAAATAAAATAAAAATAAAATAAACTTTTTCGTGGGAGTCAGTTATTATTTACTTGTACCCTATTTTTAGTTTTCGATATGCTGATCAATCAAATTAGAATCCATTAAAAATTGTTTCATTTTATCTTTTTACGGTGAAATTTACCCGTGGTGAAATTTCCTCGCGGTGAATTTTACCCATGGTGAACTTTCCTCCCGTTGATTTGATGGCGATGATCTTTCCTCTGGTGAACTCACCAGACATTGTGTATGTGTGTGTATGTGTGTGTGTTTAAGTTTAAAAAGTGAGGTAGCCAAGACAATTTGGACGTCACATCTAGATAATTGTGAACATCTTCAGTCGGAGACAGTCTGAGCGGATTGGGTTAGCCGATGTATTTCTAACGGAACCCCGCCTGCTTTTATCAAAACCTGTCACCATATCGCGTACATTTGGCTGTGATGCATGTACCTGGTATACCCTTAACAGACAGGCTGTCATGATGGGTACATTGGGCTCCGTATATTTGTAATCCAGCGTCAATTTATTGGCATAATTCATTTTAAATAAAAAAATTTAATTTGTAATTTAACAGGACCTTGCGCGGGAAGTTAAAAAATATGTTGGATCATGAATGGTACCGTTGTGTCGATAATAAATGTTCTACTTTGAACCCAAAATACTAAAATCGAGATTATGTCAGTTACAGACCCAGATGAATTGAGACAGAATCTGAGATGCTGAAGGTATTGTTCTCTGTATCCTTAAATACTGCTGTGTCCTTCGGCATCTCAATATTTCCTCGAATCAATCCTGCATCTAATCTCAATTCTAGGGTTTTTAGCATTAGTTATTGTCTTCACCACGCTAAACTAATTGTTTCCCAATTTATTTAACCCTCGTACGAGGTCTCGTATTGTTATAATGTTTCATAGTTTTTTTTGGGGGGTGGTGTATTTGGAGTGGGAATTTTAGCGTCTTCTACATTCGTGTAATTTCATTTGTTCAAAAATAGTTCCGGTCTTCTTGTTTGTGGTTGATCCAAATCTCAAAATCTCATAGTAGTCGACCCTCTTTTTTTGCAGTACACTCTCTTCATTTGTTTTTATGACTGAACCATTGTTTTGAGAATTTGCTTTTCGTTTGTTTTTCAGTCGGGAAACCATTCTTGTCAAACTGGAAATTGCTCCAAATCAAGAAATGAAGTACAGCCCCGGAGATCATGTCGGTATCTTTGCATTCAATTCGACCGAAGACGTTGAGATTGTTATGAATCATGTCCTGGACAGACCTCAGGATTTCGTTGATCTCAAAGTGCAACGGCAAGGTAAAACAAAAGAAAAAATATTTATGAATTAAAAACTTGATAATTCAAATAAACTATCTATTCTTTTTCGTGATTCAACATAAACTATCTGTTCTCGGTGGTTTCCCATTGCTACGATTCTAAATTCAAATTTGTCTTTCTTATCCTACCAAGAATAGAGAGGCCAGTCTGTTCTATTATTTTACCCATATCTGTAAGAAGAAATGGATTCTTGTTGTTTCTAAGGATATTCATGCAAAGTGAACACAAAAGTCTCGGGCTAAATTTGAACTCTGTTTACCGATTCCATTTTTGATGCCAATAAATGTTGTTGCGGGCTTCAACACTTTTGATGAGATTTTTACGCTCCTGGTATATTTGGCCCGCAAACAATATTTGGCGGATGTGTGTGCCCAAAGAAAAATTAAGATATAGAAGTTAAACAAAGAAATTTTAACAAATATATTGATAGGCCATTTTACAAAAGAAAAAATGAGAAATGAAATGAAATGTGAAGAGTTTGAAGCAACCTTCAGTGTCTGTAGTTGAGGTACTTACAATTATACGGAAGCGAAAAAGTACGTCTTTCCACGATGAAAAGTCACCGAGAAAGAGATGGATTCTTTGAAATCTTGTAATTATCACCAGCGGGTAATAATCCAAATAATAGTCCCGTAATACCGTATCCCTGAAGCTTACGTAGAAAGCCGACATGCCAAACCCTATCAAACGCCGTGTATTATCCAGAGCTTGGTATACACATTCAGTTATGGCCGTAAGCACGCCAACGGTAAACCGGGCAAAGTGGAAACCATATTGTTTGTCAAAGAGTAGATCATGGGAGGTAAGGTGCTTAACCACTTCGGCATTGATTAAAGCCTCGAAGACTCAGTCGAAGGGTGGTAGGAGACTGATAGGACGGTAGTTAGATGGGTCAGAAGGGTCTCTAAAATTCGTCAAATAGAGACAATAGATGAGGACTTGCAACAGAAATCAAGAGTCAGCGAGGCAATAGTTATATAGTTTGGAGAGAACTGGAGCCAGCTCAGGAGCACATTTCTTTAGGACTATGGATGGTATCCCGTCACTACTACTTGTTTTATGAGAGTCAAATTTAGAAATGATGTCCAATACCATCGACGGGGTTATGCTGATCTCACTCAATAGAACCTCAGTTCTAGGCGGAAAATCAGGTGTGGGCAGTCGAGATGAGTCGAGTGTTGAGTTGGTTGAGAATTTCCTGACAAAGCATTCAGCCTTATCAGCTGTGGAAGTTATAACTTCGAATTGATTGAATAGAGGAGGGATTGTGGATTTGTTGTTGTTCAGCACACACTTGCAGAACTGTCAAAATAATTAAGACTTAATTACTAGTAATATATGTTGGTTAAGTAGAAGTTCTTAAATATAAGTCATGGTGTTTTCTTTTGGAATTTTGTCAATAGTTCTATGCCACTATTTCCTTACTGGAATCTCCAATCAAACCCATCTTTCCTTTCTTTTGAAACTTCCTTCTTAGGAAATTTTTTTTTAAAAAAAGTAATTTTTTGTCTTATAACTGATGTCGCTAATCTACAACACATAAGCTTTTATGCGGATTAATATTCAGAGCATATATGTAATCTACTGAATAAAGGTTAATTACCACATTATATTACCGGGGTCACCACATGTAATCTTTTTCGTGTTAACGACATCAGAAAATGGCAAAGAGACAAATGACGGTTTTGAAGGTAGAGAAAACGTATTCGGATGCTGCTGTTATGGTGGACTTTCCCCCTAATAGAATAGAGCCAACTGTGAAAGCGTCCGAACACAAAGATATATACAACAGATAATCTCGTAAAAAGCATCTATTTTCGGAATTGGCTGGTACATCCATGTTTATCAGCAAACTAAACTTTATTTAAGACAATATTGTAATAAATTAGGCAGCATAAAAAACAAAATATTTTCAGAATTTGGGGATTCTCCGTCTTAGGTTAGGGAATGTTAAAAAAAGAGGTATATCCTGTCGCTATACTTAAAAGAATTTGTTTTATTCGAAATGCTAGTTAAATAGATAATGATAATTCGAACAAATGATAAATTTTTTTTCTTCAAAGAATCACCTTCGATTACACAGAAAAGTAATAGATCCTGATTGAAATTTTCTCCCTTCGACTCTTGACTCTTTTCTTTATTGTTCCTTTTTATGTTATAACTGTAGTAGCCTTTTAAACATCTTCATAATTAAAGCCACATATACTTAAACCACGTCACCAGATTACATGTTTTCCTGACATCCAACCACGTGTAAAACTAACATAAAACATTGAAGTGTTCTTTCGGCATACCTCTACGATATTCTGTGCTCAAGCCACGCTAGTGGATATATTACAATAACATGTATTCTTTCCTTGTCTATAACCTCTAATAGCGACCTTCTTACTCTGGGTAACGATTTATGTTGTTTTTCTTAAAAAATATTTTATTGACAAAATTGTATTTTTATATCAATGTTTTTAGATAAATATGTAAGCTCTGTTTCTGATATCAAATTGGTGTCATCTGGAGTAAGAGTGTGTGGCAATTAACTTCACCTACTCAACACACAGAACCTGTGAACACTTTAAGCTGACTGTTGCGTATTTCTTTTATGTTGTCTTTTCGCTCTTTCAAGATTCCGGTTTTTGGAAGGATCAAAAGCGAACGCCATTTTGTAACCTGCGAACCTCTCTGACATATTTCTTGGATATCCACAGTCCCGTATCACAGTCTTTGATGGAAGCATTAGCCACGATGGCCACCAGTGAAGAAGATAAAAAAGTCCTCACTTGTCTTTCAAAGGTAACAAGAGTTAAAATATTCCTTATTTAAAATCTCACTTGGTAATGTTCCTTAAAAATCATGTCAGCTTTTAAAAATAACGTCAGTAAGTTTCATTATGACTTCTGCCATTTCATTTTAGAATACAAACAAACGCAAAAAAAAAAACAAAGTCAAATGGCCTATCTTTCTATTTGTAAGATTAATTTGGATTTAATATAATTTTGTATTAATCTCCTGGTAGTATTAGTAACATCTTCTACGGATGTATTGGTATTTGGTTGGTATTTTAGATATTTTACCTTGATTAATTATTGTTTTTAACATCTTATATAAAGAATATTTAGTCAACAGTTGCATATTAATTTACCAAGTAAGTCTATATGTTTAAATTATTTACTGGTTTCTTAAAGAAGCTATTTAAAACTTTTATGTAGGAAACTCAAAAAGCATATAACTTGTTTAACATTTTGTTAATTTACCACTCCATCTCATTTTTTCATAGGAAATTACATTGTCTAGTGTATAAAGTATGTATCCATTAACATCCGCTCCTGTTTAACGTCAGTGCTGACATTGACTGCCAATCTGCGGGTCATGACCCATTTACTGAAAATAATTTGACGTAGGTCATATTCGATTGGTTGATCTGAGTAAGGCCCACAAAACTTATACCCTCCCCCGTTTTTGTTTTTTTCGTAAAAGAGGTTGTAGTTTCCTTTTAAATCTAAATAAATCATTCACTTGCCAGTAACTTACAATCGCCTGATTACATGCATTTGATAGGCATCGAAACACGACTGCAATTGTGTATCGATTTTGACATGTTTCCGATATAATATCCTAAAATAAATAATATTGTTCTACTTTGTACTGAGCCCTCTTTTAAATGAAATGTTACTAACGTTGGTATTGTACTCAATTCATTCTCATCTTACCTGGATATATATATATATATATATATATATATATATATAGGGATGAGTATGTTTTTTTAATTTCTGAACATGGTCAGAATGTTGTAGCATAATTGATATTATTGAGAGTTAGCTTTTTATTTTTATTATCAACTCTTCCATTATTTCTAACCGTTATTTGCATGTGGATGTATTATGGTCGTATTTTTCACAAGTATGTTGATGACAGAGGTTGGTACGCCTTCGTGTGTGTTAAAATATGCCCTTGTACATATATATATATATATATATATATATATATATATATATATATATATATATATATATATACCCAAGTATAGAATTGGTGTATACGGAATAAATTCCCATAATGAAAAAATACTATTCTTAAAAGAGTGCTCAATACAGAGTAGAGCAAATATAACATTCAACACCATCACTTCATAAGACAATAGAAGTCTTGAAGCAAAATGTCTATTTCTGTAGCAATTTTATAATATATTTATGTTATAATTTTCGAATAAATTATATATATATATATATATGTGTGTGTGTGTGTGTGTGCGTGTGTGTGCGTGATGCATATTCTCTTCATATTCGCTTCTTAAAGGTACGCTAAATGTGACATCGAATGAGTCTTTATTAATATTCCATTTCAGGATGTCAACGCCTATCAAAAATGGAGATTGTGCTGTGGCCTCAGTTTTGTTGAACTGCTGCAAGAATTTTCTTCACTTCAATTCTCCGCCGCCTTCCTACTGACCCAACTTCCGGTCCTGCTGCAACGATTTTACAGCATCAGTTCATCTCAGTTACATGTTCCCAACCAGATTCACATAACTGTAGCCGTGCTCAAGTACACTACACTCAGTAAGACATTTTGATTTCAACAGAACATCGATGAAAAAGCAGACATCTTTCTCAAACACACACTATTAACAAAGAAGAATTTTTGACGACGGGAAAGAAGAATCTGTCTATATTTTTGAGATGAGGTATTACGTACATCATTTACATTATTCGGACTATTGTCTTAATCTTTGTCGCTATATTTATTACAACGTTTCGGTTCTTCAGGTGGTTAGAATGTCGAACTGAACCCTTTATTTCGCTCACTGGGGTAGACTGTTCTAGTTCCAGGTGCCATGTTTGATGGATGTCAGTTATCAGTTATCTCCTGTTAATTTCCCTCTGAAAGTTCTCCACTGCCTTAACCGGGTATTGAACTCACACTCTTTGGGTCCTGTCACTGGATCTAACCAACGCCTTTATCCACTGTGCCATGTGTTAATACAGTGGAGAACTTTCAGAGGGAAATTAACAGGAGATATAGAACAGTCTACCCCAGTGAGCGAAATAAAGGGTTAAGTTCGACATTCCAACCACCTGAAGAAGGCCGGAGCGTACAACGGTCGAAACGTTGAAATAAATATGGCGACAAAGACGAGGACAATTGTCCGAATAATGTAAATAATGGGAAAGAAGAATTTAGATAGATAGATAGATAGATAGATAGATAGATAGATAAAAATCGCCGTGGAAAGTATCATCAGAAAACCCTTTTCTGCCACAACAAAGCCTCTGCATATTCTTCTCATCAGATAATGGGAACATGGCGAGAATTTCGATGGAGGTCATTAGACATCCATCTTACAGATATGATTTAGTACATTCTGACTTTTTCTTATGTCCTAGCCTTAACAAACGTTTAAAAGGTGCCAACTTTGCAACCACTGATGACTTAAAAAAGGCTATTTGAAAATGGTTTAATTCTCAGGACTCAGTTTTTCCAGGAATGCATAAATGGCTGGTATCATCACTTACAGAAATATCCTGATGTTGATGGTGATTACGTGCAGGAATAAAGTACATACTTAAAAATGTTTGATTTTAATTCTATTTTTTCACCAATGTTTCTAGTAAAACGCGCTTTAACAAAAATTGCCCTACAAAATCATCCTGCGTCTTCTATAGCGAGATTGACGCCTCCCCTAGACTAGTTTTATCCCCAACGCTCACTACCATCGGCTATAATTCTACTTCAGAGGGTTCATTCTACTTAGACCGACTCCTCTTCAACAACAAGTATTATTATTTATTTATCCGCGCGATTTTTCGTTTCCAACTGGATATAATCATTATGGATGTTCTCCATCAAGCCGTACGACCTGAAACAGATAACAACAACTTTTGCAATGCCAGGCAACGGGGACTTCTGAAGCGATTCTCTTAATGTAGAACATTAAGTTCGAAAGCATTATTATTATCATTATTATTATTACAACTACTTTTAATGGTATATTTTATCATGGCGCCTCTTATATTATTTTTGAGCTAGCATTTTGCTGCCATTGATTAGGATCATTATCATTATTATTATTATTATTATTATTATTATTATTGCTACTACTACTACTACTGCTTGTACTATAAAACGAAATATCATAACAAAGCCCCAGCGACTTTCGTCGGGATCAGCTAATCTATCAGACGTAAATTTAGCTCAACACACTCTTATTAAGGTTAATAGTAACTACAAAAGACAGACTGAAAGAAAAACTAAAAGGAAATATTAGTAATAGTAAAAGTATATTTTGGTTTATATTCAGCTATAGTGATGTTTGCTTTTTATAAAATGTTTCCTGTTTTGTTTTCTTGTGCAATTTCTTCCTTTATGTTAGTCGATACTACTAGCTTGCTTTTTATGTACAGTAACGTTTTCTGCTACAACGAAATGTTTTTGCTATGTATTGTCAATGTACTGATGTTTTAAACAACATACTTAAATAAACGTTTTCCCAAATGACGTCCTGCTGGGATAAGGGTGCATCTAATACGCATGTGCGTCTTTTATGCACACAAACAGAAAATCTTCTCTATAATAGGAGTAACAATTTATCTATGCTCACCTTAAATAACGTGATATTCAACTTCAAATATGTAAATTTATATCCTGTATAAATACAACCTTTATAAATGTTATAACACGCTTCGTAGCGCTTATAATATAAATAATACTTCGACTGCTTTATGACACCATGACTGGCGATCTACTTTTTGTTTCTAAAGAGAGAAAATATTTTCATGTTAAAACAATGCGATACCATGAATTGCTTGGTTTGAGTCACTTATAGAGTATAGTGTGAGAGGTGAAATTGTAAGCTTGGGTGGGATTGGTCTATGGTTTATGAGTGACTCGAACCTGAATGAAAGATATATGGACAGTGTGAAGAGTAAATACGAGGCACAAAATGAAAATGGAAACTCGAAATGGGACACTCTAAGAGAAGCTTTAGTGATATCAGCAAACAATATCATCCCAAAGAAGAATGGACTAAGAAGAAAAAAAACGAATGAATCACTGATGAGATTATTGACATGATGTAAAGGAGATAGAAAACTCTGCCAAATTACGGAACGGAATACTGAAAAATACACAACGAAATAAGGACCAAATGCAAACAAGCTAAAGAACAGTGGCTAAACAAAAATTGCGTTGAGATTGGGTACCACAAGGAAAGGAGATATGTGCATAAACTAATAAGAGAACTAACATGACAGAAGACTTGCTCGTCAACAAGATGTATAATATCCAAGGATGGAACACTCATACAAGAGAAGGAAAAATTCTTGTGCTGGAACGAATATATTGAAGAACTCTTCCACGACGAAAAAGAACAACCGACAATACACAGAATTACAAGAATTACTGAAGTTTACTTCGACCACCGGGGTTGATTATTCTATTTCCACGTACTATGCTTTTTTCTGGATAGTTCAGTTTCAGTTAACTCCCTTTAAAAACTCAACTCTCCAAATCTTTGCTCACCTCTGCTGTAACCACGTATTGAACTCACAACTCTTTGGGTCAAGTCACTGGATTACTTAAACCAACTCTTTTATCAATTGGGTCATGTGTCTTTGGGGAAATAAAGTGTTTGATTCGAAATTCCAAGATATATATCAACTAAAGAAGGTCGGAGCGTACAATGGCCGAAACGCCGTGAATATGACAATAAAGATGAGGACAATATTGCGAACAATGTGAATAGTTAAAAGATCTCAGAAATATAGACACATATACAATGATAATATAAACTATCCTTAGTCCATCTACCATATCCTTTCAGAACGTGTCCGATCATGTTTCTCCACAACTTCCTGCCTTTTATCGCTCCAAGTAATTCTTAAACATCTGCAACTATCATTTTCGTATTAGTTCCTGCAGCCATTTACCCAAATTTGTTGTTCTTATTCTGGTTGTCTTGTCTTCTGGGTGTGCGCCTAGCTTAGCGGTTATTGGAGCAGGAATTGGGATTGTCGTATCGTGTTCAAATTTCAGGTAATGCCATTGCGTTCACTTTCACAAAAATGCACTTGGAAAGGTACGAATCCATCTATTCTCTCTCCAACTAATAGTAGAACAGACTGGGCTCGCTAGCATTATCTAGCAACCATTTTAAGAGAAGGAAATACCAGACCGATAAGTGTCCAATCAACCGATCTTGTCCGAGACATACTACTTTTGCTCTAGCTGCAGTACATGTGATGCCTCTACGACTCTAATAATTTATGGAACTCGTAACATGACCGGGTATGACTTGCCTTCATTGTGTCCTCTGAGTGTTAAATTCATCTAGCCTTCTTTTCTCATTACGTGACCACAAAATTTCAGCATTTTCTGGCTGTTAGGGACAGTTTATTTGTAGTTTTAATTGTCCTTAAAAGGTCCTTGTTTCTTATATATGCCATCATTACTTGATCGAATTGTGTATAATAACTCTTATCTCACCAGGTCCAAAATGCCCACGTAAGAAATTCGGCTTTTGCAGCAACTGGCTCAATGAAATACCAATCGGATCAGAAGTACCCTGTTTTATTCGAAAGTGAGTATTCGTCATGTTTCTCTTTTAAAAAAAATATGTGGCATTATTTTCTCCTTGAGAAAGCATTTTAAATTTTGTATAATTGGTCTTATAAAGGTTCATGTCAATAGAAGTTACTTTTTCGTGATAGTTTGATTGGCCCAATCGCTACCTTTCAAATACGAGACTCGAGATTCAGATCATATTCCTCTTTTGGCACAGTAATATCAGATACATTATCATACTTTGTTAAATTTACGTGCATTGCCAAATTCAGATGCATTGTTAAAAATTGTCAAATTTAGATGCATTGCCAAATTCAGATGCATTGTCTAATTCAAATGCATTGTCAAAAATTGTCAAATTCAGATGCATTGTCAAATCAGATAATTGTCAAACATTGCCAAATTCAGACACATTGTAAAACATTGCCGAATTCAGACACATTATAAAGCATTGTTAAATTCAGTTACATTATCAAACATTGTCCAAATCAGACACATTGTCAAATATTGTCAAATTCAAAAACGGAATCAGACTAGAGTCAGTTAAATCTAACTTTTGAAAATGTCATATGAGAAAGTTTTGAACTCTGACTAAATCGAAAAGAATATAGCTTAAATAGTTTGAAAATATAAATATCTTCTTTTTGACTATTTCTCTTCTGTTCATCTGTCTACCTCTGCTCATATCTATGTATCTGTCTATTTCAATGGGTCTCTCCAGGAAGTCAATAAATGCAGGAGGCTTAAAAAAGGCAGTCTATAATTTAATTGTGGTAATTTACAACTAAAACTCACTAATTTCCAAACGAATTTCAGTGCAATTGCTTGCTCTTTAACGGAATATATTTTTATCTGATAGCACCTCTATATCTCAGTCAGTTATGTGCCATGCGTGATACATGCTTAGGCAATCATGTATCTTTCAATACATGACTGACGAGGTAGATTTTTTTCCGCAGTAGGTTGCCATTTCTTTCTGTGGTAGACCAGGTGCCATCCAAGACCATAGAACCCGGTCTATCCTGCTATTTACCTATAGTTGGTGGGAGAAGAGGATGATTCATACCTTTCCCAATGTTATTTTCACGTAAGTGAATGTAATGGATTTGACTGGAATTCGAACTCGGCTCTCCGATTTCCCAATCCGAACCGTGAAGATGATCGCAACTGGACACTGGAGTTTGTTTTGGTACCAGTCTATGGTGTGTTCTAGTGTAATGATATTCAAAATGTGGTACGCGTACTGGTGCCGGTACGCGAGCCATCGTCTACCGGTACGTGGAGAGTTTCTAGGAAAAAAAAAAAAGCAATAGTCTTATTCTATGCCACGGGAGACTACCGGGATATCTGACTCGTTGTTTCTTTAACATTTTCATTTTAGCTTTATATTTAATAAGGTTACATTTTTCAATTACTTACTCATGTTAAAAGCCATTGTTATACAACATAATAATGAACAGCAAAACAGGGAAGTGAGATACAGATGACAACACCATCATGATAATGTGGCGTATGACTGTGTGGGAATCACGCCTAGGAAGGTGTAGTTCCCACATAAAAAGGCCATTTTCATGGGCATATAGTTCTAAAATGGCCTATAAAAAATTCTCCTGACTGTGGAAAAAAGGGAATAGCCACGTAGATTTTGCAAAACAATTTAAAATTAACATTTAATTCCTTGCCGAGCAGATTTTCAAATTTCGCTGTAAGTCTGTAACAACACAGCTGCAGAGTATAAGGTTAGAAGAAGTAACACCTTGTGTTGCCAGAATTACGACGTTTCTCGGCCACGAGTCACAGTCACGCCATATCGACCCAAAACATAAATCGTTTTATGGAAGGGAAATATATCAGGGCCGGCGCGTAATACTCTCGCATTACCCCCTCCCCGAACATCTCCAGCTAGATTGAAAAATATCACTCGCCGTTTCCTCACACACTGAAAAAAAAACTGCTGGTACGCTACATCAGATAGTTTTCAGAGGGTTGTGTTCAACCCTTACATGGTCGGCAAAGCTTCTTCATGGCTGATCGGTTAAGGCACGATGGATCTAAGGACGGTTTCTCTACGCCAAGAGGAATCCAGGTTTGAATCCTGCTAGAGAGTGTATATTTTTCTTTAATAAAATTTCTCCAATATTCAGGCCGGTAGACGAAAATAAATAAACTGTTTAATAAATAAACGGGGCGTCTACTCAAATATGAGTATCCACTAAAATAACGTTTATCGTAATAAAAACAGACCTTGCAGAAGCATAAAGAGTTGAAATGAGAAACCCCTCCAGCACCCACCATATTCTCCATATTTGGTTCCTTAAGGACTTTCAGTTGTTCCCGTCTCTACAGAAGAATTTAATTGTGACTCTGCACAGTCAGTCGAAAACTACCTCACAACCTTCTTTCAGCAAAAATCATGAAGTTTTTATGAAAAGGCCGTGTTCGGTTAAGCTTGCCTGCCGTGGGGTCCGTCTCTAATGCCAGCTGAGTAAGACCTGCCTCCATGGGCGAAATCGGTGTTGGCTTTATAGCGAATCAGTAGCTCAAAAATCGCTTATGCCTTTTTCTGATTGGTCAGAAAAGTTGTTTTATGACCACGCTATTTTTGAATGGTATTCCAGAAGTTGAGCCGTACGAAATCAAGGTCTGTTTTTGTCATATGAGCTGTGAATGCCGAAGTGGGCACTTCCGTTTCTGTTAAAAATGGGAGTTCCGACAGGGTACGACACCATTTTCAACATGTTGCGCACTATAATATTGGCATCTTCCAATGAACATACTATCCAATATTGTCATGTCGATCTTATGCCATGATCAAACAACAAAAGACTAAGCGGTCAATAGTCTTAACATGTCGTTTATATAATCTACATATTAGATCTGTATGTGATTTTTTATTACGGTTGCCTGGTAATTCCTTATATATAGTCCTCGACCCTGTGTAGCCACTATAAATGCCCCTGTCTCCTCTTTTAGCCTTGTATTCGTCAAATGGATTTAGTGTCTATTTATATCGATATAATTACCACTTCTGTTATAAAATATCGTTTGTTTGTTTTTTCATTTTGTATGTTTTGTTTATTACTTTTTATATTAGAGTTTATTTATTTACTATAGGGAAAATTCATTTCATCTACCCGAAAATTCTGAGCTACCTGTTATTATGGTGGGGCCAGGTACTGGAATAGCTCCTTTTCGAAGTTTCTGGCAACAAAGAAAAGAAGAAAAATCTTCTGGTTCTACAAAATCAGGTGAGTCCTTAATTCATCGGATTTGTAGGAAAGTCCAAAGAATTCGCAAGGCTGAAGCCAGCCCTCTTTGATCACAAGAGTCAGTGACAATCATTAAATCATTGACTACCTAATTTATTTTTATAGACATATTGATTTTTATAAAAAACTAAGCAACATAAAGCAAACACACGATCAGGCTCCTTAGTCGATTTACGACCATATCACGTTGAAACACAGGTTCTCGTACGATCAGCAAAGTTAAGTAACGTCAAGACTGTTCAGTACCTAGATGGGTGACCACATAGAAATAACAGGTGCTATAATAATACTTTTTCTCATGAGGTGAAATGGGTAAAAACAGCTTGAATGTGCGGGTCATGTAACTCAATACTACCCACCACGTAGTCCTGGGCATGATAAGCTACTTCCGGTAGCAAGGCCTCTGATCAAGAGATTGGAGGTTTTTAGGAACGTGGAGCCACCACTTAGTTGCTGTTATCCCAGGTACACCATGGCCCGGGGTGGTAGCACCCGTTAAGGTCTTAGCTATGGGAAAATAGTTAACCCTACCAAGCGAAAACAAGCCCCTATGAAAGTATAAAAATACATTTTATATTAAAAAAAAATAGCAACAATACATATTTATATTAAAATTATCAATCAACATTAAAGAACAATTTCATGACATTAATCCATATAATATCCTACAATTTCTTAAAGAAATCAAACTGTATTCCAAAATATAACTTCAACAAAACTACAACATAAAACACACATATCACGACCTCTAGTAATTATGTCCAAACATGTATATGCAGAAAGCAGAGTATTATCTACCATGTATTCAATTGTGAAAGCAGAATAACATATTTTTATTACTTCAAAGTTCCCAAGAAAATTAAATTTTGGTATTAAATGATCCATAAGTGGTTGTCGTGCCGTTAAACAAACAATAAAATCAAAGCTCTCAAGCAAATTAAATTTCGGTATTAAATGACGCATAAGTTATTGATGTGCCGTTAAACAAACAGATCAAATCAAATCAAATTATCCAATACTAGCTGCCGCGCATTCGTCCGCGCCATCTGCGACTACACCAATTCCTCAGCCAGGCTTTTCTAGTGAGAGAGGTGGCTAAACACCGGGCAGGGTAAGAAATATAACTTGTCTAAGAGCGGTTGCACCTTCTTATAGAATTTCTCAGATATTCACCGACTGATCAAACCTTTGCTTTACGAAATGGTTCGATTCCCGTTTGCTTTGGTGTGAGCAAAGCAGGGGAAAGGTCTGGTGAACTTTCAACAAAGAAACTAAAAGCGAAATATCGGAGGGAAAAGTCCCAAATACGGTCGTCTCAAGAAATCTTCTTGGTAAAAGAAAAGTCTGTTGGTTCCGATAAGCAGGATTCTTTATTCATGGATCAGTACACCTGGCACTGTCTGGAATTAAGTACGTGACACTGCTGCTTTTGACAGACGAAAGGGTCAGATCCTCCCTTCCGCTAGTAAGGACTCCGTCTGGCTCAACATTGCTTCTTACTCTAACCTTTTTTTTTATTTTTTTACCCTGCCATTGATTCTCACTGAAACTCTGACTGTCCTTATCTAGAATGCAGCCTGATTATATGAACCCATAACCGAAATTCCCTGCCTTCCGGTCAAGTGTCACTTAATCCCGTAACTTCAAATATAGACAACAAATATTTATGTCAAACCAAAATAAGTAAATTCTCATAGAAATAAATATAAACAGTCAGTTAGTTATGTGCCATGCGTGATACACGCTTAGGTGATCAGGTATTTTTAGATACATGACTGACGAAGCAGATTTTTTCCCGCAGTAGGTTGCCATTTCTTTCTGCGGCTATAGAATCCGGTCTGTCCTGCTATTTACCTATAGCTGGTGGGAGAAGAAGAGGATTCATACCTTTTGCCAAGGGTATTAGTATGTAAGTGAATGTACTGGATAGAATGGAATTCGAACTCGGCTCTCCGCTATCCATCACTCCACCCTGCCTCCCATAAACAAACAACATTTACCTATTCCCAAACAGAGCACATGCCTTTAGACTCAAAATTAAACGACTAATATTTTTCTATTGCCAAACCAAAGAAATACTTTTATAAGCCCAAATATAAACGACCGATATTTAACTATCCCCAAATCAAGTAGATTCTTATATATTTCAAATATAAACGATTGATATTTACCAATCCCCGAATCAAATAAAAGCTTTACTATTTAAATACAAACGAACAATATTTACGTATCCCCGAACAAAGTAAATGCTTATAGATTTGTGAGAATATCCAACCTTCTCTGCCAATGGAGTTCGCTCAACAGCCACTAGGTAGCGTGGCAATCAGCAGTATAAACGTAAATGACTTTCTTTCTTGCAGGAAAATGCGCTAGTAACAATGTGTCTACCGTCCTCACCGGCATCTCCTTCCCAGGAAAACCAACTTCTTAATTTCACCCAACCACCGGTGAAATTAAGAACACTACACTAATTACATAAATGTTTTTCTTCCCTTTTTGAACTATCTGTATACATGTAAATATAATGTTCTTTTTCTATTCTTTTGTGAGCTATGTTGTCCTTTATTAGGATTATAACTTTTTTGTAACCCTATGTTCATGTGTCATAAATCGATGAACTTTTGTTCAAAAGTAATGAAAAAGGCATTCATTTGTTTTAGTTCTTGAAAAAGGTCACCCCCAAACCAAAAATTTGATTTTACCATATATGCAATAATGGTAAATAATCAAAATATTTCAGAAGCCTTATTTTTCAATTTGCTAATAATGTAATTGGATAGTACTTATGTATTTTTACGCATTTAACAGTATAACATATGAACATACAAATAAACATATACAAGTTCTAGAAAGTTCTCCAGAAAGTCATAGTACATCTATATTTAAATACGATTTTAGAAATTTCGTTTTGGAAGTGACATTTTTTAAAATAAACTGAATTAAGCCTTTCTTCGTTATTTCTAAACAATAAGTTGCAAAAAGTTATAATACTAAGGTCTGTGTGTGTGTGTGTGTGTGTGTGTGTGTGTGTGTGTGTGTGTGTGTGTGTGTGTGTGCGTGTGTGTGCGTGATGAGTTGGTTGAACCACGAAACTTTAAGTTGCACTTCGAATGTAGGCATATGTATATTTATTAATATATAATTCTTAGCTCTGCCTAACCACATTGAGCACTGTTTGTTTACACCTTAAGTTAAATTAAGTAAATATTTATTCGCTTACCTGTCTATGCACGTTAACACACGTATATACAGTTGGTTATATCTAATTATTTGGTTTATATTCACATTCATACTTATATGTGTGTGCGTATGTGTGCGCGCGTGTGTGTGAAAATTCTGTTGAATTCTTTTATTTTGAAAGACTGAAATCGCGTCCGTTACAATAAAGTAGCACCTCTTCACTTCAAATATAAATTTTTTTATATATTCAAATATAAACGAACCATATTTACTTAACCCTGAACTAAGTAAAACGCTTATATATTCAAATATAAACAAACCATATTTACTTAACCCTGAACTAAGTAAAACGCTTATATATTCAAATATAAACGAACCATATTTACTTAACCCTGAACTAAGTAAAACGCTTATATATTCAAATATAAACGAACCATATTTACTTAACCCTGAACTAAGTAAAACGCTTATATATTCAAATATAAACGAACCATATTTACTTAACCCTGAACTAAGTAAAACGCTTATATATTCAAATATAAACGAACCATATTTATTTTAACCCTGAACTAAGTAAAACGCTTATATATTCAAATAGAAACGACCAATATTTACTTAACCCTGAACTAAGTAAAACGCTTATATATTCAAATATAAACGAACCATATTTACTTAACCCTGAACTAAGTAAAACGCTTATATATTCAAATATAAACGAACCATATTTACTTAACCCTGAACTAAGTAAAACGCTTATATATTCAAATAGAAACGACCAATATTTACTTAACCCTGAACTAAGTAAAACGCTTATATATTCAAATAGAAACGACCAATATTTACTTAACCCTGAACTAAGTAAAATGCTTATATATTCAAATATAAACGAACCATATTTACTTAACCCTGAACTAAGTAAAACGCTTATATATTCAAATATAAACGAACCATATTTACTTATCCCCTAACCAATTAAATGGTTACAGATTCAGATATATATATTTTTAAAAAAAGACTGAAAAATAAGATTAAATAATCAAAAACATCGACCTATGAAAACCCATCAAAAAATAATGAATTTTTGTTCCGAAATTTGTAACACGCGTATATGTCAACCATCTTCAAGATAAAAGTGTCTTGATATGAGGTAATAGTTACAGAGGTTAACTAATGCTACTGTTGTTGTTGTTGTTGTTGTTGATGATGATGATGATGATTGGACATGTCTACTCAAAGACATATACCCACTAAGTATAACGTATATAGCAATAACAATTTTGTAAAGATACCACATATTTAATAACTTTCTATATTTTTAGGTAAAATGGTTATGTATTTTGGATGTCGTCGGCTTGACCATGACCACATCTACCAAGAGGAACTGACCATCATGCAATTTCAGGGCATCTTGGACAAAGTCCATGTTGCTCTTTCTCGACAGCCTGAAATCCCAAAAGTAATTATCAATTATTGCATTAATTTTGTATTTATTTATTCATTGCAATGTTTATATATTTTGGTGGGTATTATTTGATTGCTTATTGAGACCTATGGCTAATCCAGACCCCAAGTGCAACTCATACATACGATCCATCGCTAAAGAAACTGGAAAAAATGTACTGCTGTACCGATCCAGTAAGTACCTGACTCCTTTTGCTATCCTTCACTTTTACAAGATCCGGATCAGGCCGAAAATGGAGCACTGCCTGCATATATGGGCAGGAGCTTACCCAGTCTTCATTTTCCAATCTCGAGATAGTTCAAAAGCGTCTCCGCGTCCTTATGGGCGATGAATTATTTTCCACCCTAAAACCCCTTCCCCATGGACGAAACGTCGCAAGCCTCTCACTGTTCTATCGCTATTTCCATAGAAAGTGTTCAGACGAACTACATTCATTAGTTCCACCATTAGTAACATTCACGGCTAAGATCCGCCATGCCACGCCCATTGTATCACCCCCCCCCCATCATTCACTTCGTATTCCATTGGTGAGCAGCTTCTTCACACAAACAATCTTAACCTGTTCAAGTCTAGAGAGTTAACCGTTATCTTCCCCACAAATCCCCAGAAACTGTGGTTCTTACTCTGTAACCCTCTACCTCGAGTGGCTCTTGATCTTTGTACAGAGTAGGCATCATTGTAAAAAAAGAGCAACTATAAACTGGATATCTATCAGCCAACGGTACCTCTCTATTCCACCGTACAAAGAATATCCTTAAAACATTTTAAACCTAGATTAAAAATAGCCAGTGCGAGTTTGTATAAAAGTCGAAGTTAAATTGAAGACTTCATTATATTTTGTGTTAGTGGCGATGCAAATAAAACTCGACCAATGGTCATGGTAAACACGGAATAAAGTATGGTTCGAAACCGTTATTTATAATTAGCGAGATTGGCTCGCTTATCTTAACAGAAACTTTCCAAACAGCAGAAGAAATTAGAGTTACCTCCCTTATACCATTTTACTATTTGAAATGCATTCCGTTATTTTTTTAAAAATCTGTCTTATTTTTCAGAAACAAAATATTTGACGTTTTTATTTAACTGCAAGTGAATTTCCATAGGATATTATTTACGATATATTTTTTTACTAAAAATATTTTTCTATTTTTCCATGTTAAATCATTTGCAATGTATCGTTGTAGAAAAAAAATTTAGTAACTGTTTTCGTAAATTTATTTGCAATCTGATTCACAGGAAAAAGGTTATGACTAATTTATTTAAGTCATTATTTTCAAAATCATTTACGCCTGCACATTTCTTTACTAAAATGATTAAGAAAATGCTGTTAATAAAAACTTCTGTAATAAAAATATATGTAATACAAATTATTGTCAATATATATTTCTACTTGGAGCAATGCATTTCTATAGCAAAATTCCTGGGAGTGAATTTCTACAGTAATAATCCTTGGAAATATTCCTGTAATAAAAATTATTGACAGTGCATTTATCTCGTTAAGTCATTGACTAATGTTTTTTATAGTAAAATAATTGGCAATGCATTACTATAGTTTAAAAATTGTTGGCAAATCTTTTTCATACTATAATTCTTTGCCAATGCTTTAAACAAAAGAAATACTTAGCAATGCTTTTACAAAATATTACTATACAATACATATATAAGAGACCTTGTGTATTTTTCATACAGAAAGGAAGTTTTCGTTTTTGTACCAAATTGAAGCACCCGAAACACAGAAATTTTAATAATCAAATTTATATTTTTGGCATCGCAAAATGATGCCGCATCTTATTGTCTCACTTGCAGACGATCTTTAGAAAAATGAGGGAATATTTCACTCCAGATTTTCATATCTGTTCACTCTTAAATAAAAAAATAAGCCACTTTCTGACAACAATTTCACTCACAAGTCTTGGGTGAACCTGTCGCATGGTTTTCAGGAACTTTCCAAGTTCGATAACACCAGGAAGTCTCTTTCCCGACAAATCGTCTATAGTGAGATTCGAACCCCAGTCTCATTGTTAGAATGCAACTGTCCTAACCAATCGGCCACGTGCCCATGATCCGCTTATAAAGTAAAACATTTTCTGTATTATCAAAATTTACATACACGAAAGAAAGGAAACTTTTAACATACATTTTAAATAAAAAGAAAACTTCTATTTGACTTCTATGGATACTGAAAGGACGGAAAAGATTTCATATTTTAATTCGACGTTTTGTAATCTTTTACAAAATAAACAGATTTTATAAGACAAAGGCCCACCACACCACTTATATTGTAACAAGTCACTCAAATTCCCTCCGTATTCCATCGATGAGAAGTAAGTTCCATTCTAACAGATCCTTCCTGCGAACTGTGGAACAGACTCCCAAGAGGATGCTTCCCCCAATCATTACAATTTTAACCTGTTCCAGGTTAGGGTTAACCGTGTTCTTACACTCCTATCCGCACAAATCGCCTCCTAACGTAATCCTCTACTTTGAGTGGTTCCAGGGCCTTATAAGGGGTGAACTTTACTGTAAAAAAAAAAGTATTTTATAATAAACAAATTTGTTAAGAAGTAATTTGTTAGAAGAATTTCATTTTAATTTTTGCATATAATCTTCTATATATTTCCATAATAAAATCATTAATAATATATATGTGTGTGTGTGAGTGAGTGATTGAGTGAGAGAGAGAGAGGGGGGAGAGAGAGAGAGAGAGAGTGCGGTCTTGATTAACAACCAGTCTAGGAGAATAACAACTCTGAATTTTAAAAAAGGGTCGTTTCAAGACCTTTTTGCACACTATCAACACCACTTCTCTGTATACAGTTCTTACGAAAAGTGTCGCATTTTCTGCACAAGTCTGCATCACTATAATTGAATTCTATCTGTGCGTAGTCTAGCTATTCTGTTATAAGAACTGGGCTACTGGATCCTTTTACGTCCAAAACAACGGGCGTGACCATATATATATATATATATATATATATAACCGTCACCGAAGGAAACTCGCTGTGAGAGCGGCCCTTAACAGGCAAACATGGCAATAAATTAATAACACTTATCAAGAAGATCTTGAAAATGGTTAAAGGAGTGATCAAAAGCTCTTGGGACAATAGACACTACGGACAATTTTTATACTCTCCTTACTCCCACCAAACGGAAAAATGTAAAAATATTAGAACTAAACAAAAAAGTAATCAAATTTTTCCTGTCTATTATATTCAACGAAACCTGTTTGAAAGAAATATCTATAACTGGCATTTTACTAATGCACGTCTATAGTAAAATACTTAATCAATGCACTTCCATAGTAATTTGTTGTTATGTTGTATATTAGAACTTTATTCACTGCCAATAATCGTTGTCTTTAAAATATTTGGTTATGTTTTGCTCAGACTTACGTTCAAAACTTGATGGAGGCAACTTCTTCTGAAATCTACCAACTCCTGGTCGTTGAAGGGGGCCATATTTACATCTGCGGGGATGCTGGAATGGCTGCTGATGTCACAAAGATGTTGATGGAAATCATCAAAAAAGAAAACAAGAATAAAAATCCCGATGCGGTCATGGAGATTCTGAACGTGAGTTCAAAGAAAGAACATTAGAGAAAATTTTCTTTTTATTGCCGCTAACGACAAAAAAAAATTCTGTATTAAACTATATATGGTATTAAATTATTCAGCAAGAAAAATATATTTAATAGATTAAAAATTTGATTGATTTTTTAACAAATCCATACACACAAATAACCGATTGATTTGTAAAACTTTCGGTGAAGTTGCGACCAGAAATAATCACCTTTCCAAAATTTCTTTTCGGGTCACTATAAATTAAACACTCTAGATCACGAATATCTAAAAAAAAAAAATCGCCCTACGGAAGCCAAAACAAATATGTTTATAAAACGTGATTTCTTAAAATGTAAAGAAAAATGAAGAAAATGTTTGCAATTCGAAATATATATAAAGAATTTCAGATTACGAATTTACATAAATCATAATTAATACTTCCAGTTTAGAAGAATCCTCAACAGAATGCAAAAAGCACTGGACAGCAAGATCCATCCTATTTTTGGACTCCTTAGTAGTGCGTATCCACGACCGAGAATCGAACCCGGACAGTTACGATATAATGCGACGCGAAGAATTGATTATGATAAGAAGAATCAATTTACAAATATATAGCAATCTGGACCTCGCTATTAACGTTTATAAAATATAATAACTTTTTTTTTTAGATATACTTTATTTGGAGTGCTTAAATTGAATCCAAGAGACACAGGAAAACAATGCATAGCATAGAGCTGTAATGAATGGATAGCAGAACAGGTTTTAGTGGAAAAAACGAAAAGACAATATTTAAGAGTTACAAAGGACAGGAAATTGTGGAGGGCCATGATCGCCTACGTCTTGAGGGGAAACGACATAAAAAAAGAAGAATCTTTGGATCTTTTCTGTTAATTAACCTAAAAATAGTAATTCTCCCCAAAATAAAAAGAATTTATATTTACTAAAATTCAGACCAAATTCTCCTAGAGTGAGTCCCTGCATTCCAGTTAGGTTGACCTTTGCGATCTCCCTAAATGTGGTATTCTATTTTTAAGTGTTGGATCTGCGTTCTCGCTCACCCCGATAAACACGCCAAAAACAGTTTTTTTTATTATTATTATTTTAAATTGGTAAACATTCCTCTAATATTATCCGCACTTACGAAATGTGAATAACTCACTGATTTTTAGTAATTTTTGATTCTGATTTTTGGAGTTGTTGCGAGGTAAGCTAAAAAAAATTTTGATTTAAAATTTCAAGAGTGGCAAAAATTTTATAGGAAAACAAACTTTCATCTAAAATTTATAATTTCAAAAGAGTGCCAAAAATTTAATAAAAAACAAACAAAATTTTCTTGGGATAAATTAATATTTGTGATAAGTAACTTTACATTATTTGGGGTGAATTAACAGAAAAAATCCGAAATAAAAAAATTTAAAAAATTTATTAAGAGCTACAAAGGACAGGAAATTGTAGAGTGCCATGATTGTCAACGCCCTGATGGGACACTGCAAATGAAGATGAAAAATCTGTATAGAGAGATATGAAAAAAAAGATCTAAAAAGTTGATTATTTCTGGTTTCATTAGCTACTGTAGAATTTCACCAAACCGTATAAAGATTTTACTTTCACAAATTATTCATTCTTCTTCTTCGATTTAACTCCCTTGCATTGTAAATGTTACGACCAAATATTCGCTTGAAGTCAGATAAAAAAAAAAAAGTAATTAAAATAATTAAGATCAAATAAAATAATTAAAATTGAAATCTCTAGAAAAAGGGAATAAAATCGGTTAATTTGCAGTGTAACACCTGCACTCAGTTTGCATTAATAATTTCCAGAATACTTACATTTTTATGTGTAATTGTACATGCTTCATTCGGATTCATTCGCGTCGCGGATAGCCATTACTAGCGTTGTTGACATTCATTCGCTGCAGAATAGCGATCAGTGTAGGTATCATTGCGCAAACTGAGCGTGTCCACGTAAATAGTTCTCGTGCGCAGTAATTAAGACAAATTTAGGCAAGAAAGATCAGTTAGCTTTCCGTAATCTTCCGCGTTTACCTTTCCGCAGTGAATGTATGCAAACAATGACACTAATGGCTGCCGCCAACGACGCGAATGAATCCGAATTTTCACTGTCGGTAACTCCAAAACGGTGGATTTTATCAGATTTATCAAGCCAGGTCTGAATTGAGCATGTACAATTACACATAAATATAAGTATTCTGGAAATTTTTAATGCGAACTGAGCGCGGGTGTTACACTGCAAATTAATCATAAAATTTAGGAGTAAGGCTAGGAAAATTTTGTCTAAAATTTTCTTTTTCTTATTTTGCTTTCAGAACGAGAACCGAATACACAGAGATATCTTTGGAGCATTAGCTCTTAAACTGAGTTCCGAAGAATCGACATCTGTTGCCTGCATAAAATGTTCATAAACAGAATATAAAGTAAGTTTATTGAGATTATTAAATGGCAGCTACCTGGTTTATCACCCGGTTCACATCAACCCCGGTCTTTTGAACAGGAATAGAAATTTATCCCTTATTTCCTGTAAGATTGAGTTTCCGGTTCCTTCTAATGTAAGGACCTCCACTAATCTGTGATACCTAAAAAAAATGATTTTTTTTAAATGGAAAATCTTTCTTGAAGCTTTCATTTTTGCTTTAATTGAAAGCTAAAAGATTAAATTTAATTTTTCCAGTAAGCAAAATATTCTGGTGTATTTCAAACAGAAATTATATGGGAATCGATTTTCATTTTTTTTTATTTTTAAATTGCTGATTATCGCCCTTTTTTAGTCGTCTTTCATCGTAATATAATTCTCTGTATTTTAGAATCTAGAGTATTTTCATTTTCTTTCACTCCCAGCAGCCCCTTGCGTCTTAGCCACGTTGTCGCCTTGTTTGGGGCGAATTGATAAAAATATGTTTTGTTTTCCTCACTTAGAAAACTCAACTTTTGCCTCTTTTTATATCGGTTTCGCTGTAAACCAGCGATCAATATTGAATCGATATATACGCGTTATTCTTCTTTTTTTTTTTTTTTTTTTTTTTGTTATTCGGACATGATTTAAATATTAAGTGACCAATCAGAAGTTGAGATTTTCTGAAAATATATATTAAGCTGAATAAGCTCTGTGACCCACTTTTTGCATAGAAATCGACATTGATATTCGGATATGATTTAAATATTAAGTAACCAATCAGACGTTTTGTCTGAAAATATGTATGAAGCTGGGTAAGCTCTGTGATCCACTTTTTGCACAGAAATTGACATTGGTAAAAAAGTGGTAGCGGGATGCTAAAACAGTAATAAGAATAACAATTTTTATAAAGTAGAATGAATTGAACATCACTATGTCACATTCATCCTCAAGAAATACTAATATAGTGTAGTGTTACTGATTCACGGGAAGTAGTATGCACTTATCTGCCTCATGAGTAATAACTGTAGCTATTTATAGTCTTTGTGACTTCATATGTAAATAAATCACATCAACTAACTCTAACCTAAGTTGGAATAATTAAACGATATGAATATTATTATTTTTAATTGATTTTTGGTTATTAAAATCTAAAAAGGAAGACCTCAAATTAATGCTCAAATTTATATTTCATAAAAATGTATTTCTTTCTTTTAAACCTTCTCCATAAGTTTCATAATTTAAAATTTACGACCAACAAAGTTAATTTTTGGTACAATCTAGATTATTTTTTCCTTAAAATATATTTTAGTTCCACTCAATTTTTATATAAGTAAAAATATTGGCTACAATTCATTTCAGATTTTGAAAGGATTTCTGAACATATTGATTTATCTCCTTTACATTGGATGTAAATCTTTTGAACAAGACTCATATTATGAGTATCCCTGTATAAAAAGCCAAGCACATGAAATAAAAGATCAAACGAAATATTTCTTTCGACATATAACATCATTTATTTTTAAATAAAATTTAATGTCTATAAATAAAAATGCTCGGATATAGTTTAGCTTACATGGGAAGTTGAGGCTTTCAAAAACAATAAAGGAATGTCCTTTTTTTTTTCATTCTGGGAACATTTTCTTTCCACGCAGCTTCATTTAGAATAAAACATTCTTCGTTTTAAATTTGTAAAGTCATGCTGTTTTTATTTTGTTTTTTATTTTTTTCTTCCAGTGCCACCAGTCCAAATAATGAGGGCTTTATTTAAAATTTATGAGGGCTCAAAATACGAGTCTCGTTCAAGAATTGATGTAAGGGGGATAAATCTGTGTTTGGTATGTAGAAAACTGTTTGAAATGTTGAAAAATGAACCATACCCCAAATTTGGAAGTGACAAAAAGATCATGGAATCGTAAAAAATTAACAGGAAATTTTTTCGAACGACATCTGTAGTGTGTAAAAATAACTTATTCCATATAAATCTTGAAGGTTTTTAGCTTTGTAAAAAAGCACTATATCAATAAATAATATATTCTCTCTCTCTCAAATCTAATCTCAGATGCCTCGTTCTGGGACTTCAATGAAGTATCAATGTATTTTAACCCAAGGTTCAACACATTAACGCGGAAACCAAACAGAAAGGATTCAACAAACACGATCTTATGAACAAGATTAATTACCAACTGTCGAACAAAAAGATAAAAACGGGTAAGCGAAGGCGATCCATGAGGGTGGGAGTCAACACATAGTTAAAGGGAGGCAACCACACCCAACCAATTTCCTGATATTTAATTAATATCAATCACTGGAAAACTTCAGATGTCATAAAGCCAGTGGCCCTCAAGTTTGCCGCCCCTCCCTAGAAGGATCACAATATTACAATGTACATTAATCCCTTAAAGTTATATATATATATATATATATATATATATATATATATATATATATATATATATATATAAATTCACTTAATCCAAAACCCATATCAAGTCCTTTAAAAATTTTCAATTCTTTTCACACCTTGAATAAGAAACGCACGTACGAACATTGAACATGTCTTAACTCATTAACTACAAGCAACAGAAACTTATTCAACTTCTAACAGAGATATTCTTCAGCCCTCAACAAGTCTGAATATTTCTTTATTGAAGCTGAACATTATTTCATGAAGTGAAATCTTTTTTGGAAGTCCAGATAAAAATATTTCCTCTTAAAAGGCTTTATGTATTACAAGTTAAAGGGAAATAACTCCTGCTGTATTATCCCAACTCTTGCTACATAAAAATCACACACTTGATTGCTTTTGCATTTCATACAGTAAAATGAAGATTATTTGTTATAAGAACAGTTTTTGTGTTGTTTCTTTTGTTTGCTTTTCGTTTGCTTGCACATTTGTAAAGTAAAAAAATGTACGGCTTGATTTAGTCTGTCAATACCGCTACAAGGTCTTCAAAAGTCTCATGATACGAGTATATATATATATATATATATATATATATATATATATATATATATATATATATAATGAAATGGACAAAGTCCGACAATTATTTTTAAGATATTTTTTTATGTTTATACATTCTTTTTATAGATACAAAAATTTAAGTAAATGCTCTGTTTAAACAGTATTAAACACTATTTACCGGCCTGAATGTCCGAGAAATTTTCACAGAAAATCGGAGGACGAATATTTTCTGTGAAAATTTTTCGGACATTCAGGCCGGTAAATGTTGTTTAATACTGTTTATTATAAACAAAGCATTTACTTAAATATTTGTATCTATAAAAATAATGTATAAACAAAAAATCTTAATAATATATATATATATATATATATATATATATATATATATATATATATAGGTATTGCTTAAAGTTTGTATTTTCTTGATTTCAGAAAATGCAATCTGATGGAAATCTCCCATCATATTTCATTGAACATTTAATTTTCCAAAATCATAGTTTATAATCCTGTCTTAGATAAAAGATGGATGAAATTAGGATAGGAATAAATAAATGATATTTTGCTGGAGACGAAATCATTTTGTTTTGAACATTCTTTTTTTCTTTTTTAACAAAATTACAAACATGCCCCCAACTCCCAACTGTTTCCTTTACCTATAGACAGACACAAAAGAAACCAATTTATTTCAGTACAAAATTAAAGAATGCGAACAGAAATAAATTTCATAGGTAATTAGTATGTTCTCCATATTCAGACGAAAATATGGCCCAAATTGTTTTTCTTGGATAGAAGGGGTTTTCCTAAGTTGCGTAGTAAGGTAAATTAATTTACAACCGAATTAAAATAAGGTGAATAAAAGCTTACTTTAAATGAAGTTACTTTAAAAATGAAATATATTTTATTTGTATACTAGTATACCCGTGCCGTCAAAATTGACAAGAAGGAATGTATTATAAGTAATATTTTATTATATTGTAACTTTCGTTTATTCCCAGTTCAATTTTGCAGTTTAAAATATTTCATTGTTAATGTTAATAATTGAACAGTGTACAACTTATAAACACCTCAGGAAAGATATCCATATTTTAAAATATGTAAAGATGGTTTAATTTTTGCCTAAATTGCAAAAATTATAGTGAGCATTATTTTTTCGAAAATTTGTCTGAATCCTTCTATTCTTTGTTAATGTCAAAATTCGGAGTGTCGGGATTCGATACAATACAATTTTATAATATAAAATATTGTTGCGTGACTGCTTGTAATTGGACCCTTTAGAACAATCCTACTATTATCATTGAAAGAATAAAATCCAGTAGGAAAAACAACGCAGTATCAACAAATAAATAATTTATGTACGTATGTGAGAAACAGTGAAATGTTATGTATGTGTTTGTGTGAAAGAGTCATTATGTGTGTGCGTAACACATATACTGACTCTTTCTAGAAACTGGGTATACAAGAGATAGAATTTAATTCTTACTAAGAACTGTGACCGTAGTTTGGACCGGTCTCTCTGTATTTTGTCAGCGTGCTAGGTTTTTGCAAATGTCCGTGAATGGAGGCCTTGAAGATAAGCATTTAGAATGACGTGGACTTGGCGACTTCTGAGCGTCTCATGTTTGGGGCTGGACGTCGTGAGTTTTATACACTTTTTCGTAAGAACATCGGCTCCAGAATTATATTGATTTCTCCCTAATTGGCCCTAAATGCCACGTGGTATATCTTCTACTACGTCAGCATGATGTTTTCAAAGAATATTCTAGCGGACACAACAAATTAAATTGAATAAAATACAGTTAAATTCTTACAGCAAATATTCAACTCCACTAATATTGTCCGTAACATGTCTGTCTCTCATAATTTTTATTTAACTAAAATTCTTTTTATCTTTTCAAAAACAAATATAACTTAAATGTAGGCGAGTGGGTCATTGTTGTTTTTCACACTTCCCCTCAATTGTCAGACACAATATATATATATATATATATATATATATATATATATATATATATATATATATATTTCGATAAACGTGCAATCAATTT